CTCACTGCTGTCAGTGACTGAGCGAGGTACTGTGCTCCTGAACTTACCGGAACCTCTCCTTTAACTTCCTTTATAGGCAAGCATCTCACTGACCTTTGGCTTTATACCTTGGAGTTTCAAGATTAAGTATTCCCGAGGTAAGAGAAACCTGAGAGAGAGAAAGAGCTTTGCTTCCCCAAGCCATTCTCCCAAGTCTTGCTTATTGAGACTACCTCAGTTTGGCCCTTAAGTGGGATAAGACCATCTTCTAGCTGAGTCTGAAATTGCAATGGCCTTAACTTTTTTTGGATCGTGTTGATTAGGGAAAAATAGGGACGTTTGAAAAGTTTCTGTTTTGCAGCTTGTCAGGAAGAAGGGATATTAATCTTTCTCTAAAGATACTGTGGTAGCTGAGTTTTTCTCTCTTAACTTATTTTTGAGAACAGAGTGTTTTGCAGCAGCAGCCATGCTCTGTGAGACTTGGCCCCCTAAGCTGTTTGTAGGATGGCTCAAGGGGTCTGTGCGTGTGGGCAGATTCAGATGCCAAGGAATCTTGTTCAGTTTCCATGAGGGACTCTAATAAAGGCACTGTTCATGGGAGCAAACCAGAAGTTTGGGTAAACGTAATTCTGACTTTATTGCCTCTCTGTTCAGAGACTGGGTTGGCTGGCTTGTTTTGCTTGTTGGTTTTCTTTTGCTCTTTCCTATCTATTTTCTTCTTTGAACTAGTCCCTTATTTTACTGGCATTAAAAGCCACTGTCTTTGGCTCAGCTTTCATATATGTTTAGCTGTGGTTTCTTTTCACGTTCTCTTTATGGTGGTGTTGAAAAACAGTTATGCAGCCACTTAGCAGATACCGTATAGACTTCTAACGTCATGTGCCCAGGAATCCCTGTAACATCAAAAGCATGGTACCTAAAGTTGTTTCTGATAACTGATTGGCCTTCTGGTAGGTAGTACTGGGAAAGGCTAAGGAATAAACTGTTTTTTTCATAATACTCCTGGAAGGAGTGAAGTGTCTAAACTAGAATACAACAGGCCCTCAAATTCTTTAGGAAGACTCAACTTTTAGGGTCTCTTGACATACTGGCTTCTTTACTGTCTCAAATCAGCACGTCCCTTTTATAGTCTGCATGGAAAGACACCTCTGAAAATACTGATGCTTTCATGAGGAGTCTGGGTTGTAGTAGTCTGGATTAGCTCATAAGCTTTATATGCTCCCACGTACATCATTGAAATCCGGTGCAGTTTGTGCACTGTTGAGCTTTGAACCACTCAGGCTCACTGCTCAAAGTGTCCTTACGTTTCGTTGAGTTGGGAACCCTTGAAGCTAGATGTTCGACATCATGTTGGTGGGTTCTGATATCCTTCCATGTATCTGCAGACACTTACGTTGCTTGACTGGACCTCCTGCATGTCTTTTGGTGTCACCTCTGTCTTGTCACCGTGTTAAAAAAAAAGCTCAGTAAACTGTTTTGATAGAGATGCTACAGGAGGTCTTGGTGCAATTTTTCAACCCATAAGTATGGAAAGGTTGCCTCAAATGCATGTTCTTTTAAAGACCTAGTTTGTGTTTCAAGTTTCAAGTGCTTGTGTACTGCCTGACGTTCATCTGATCATTTAATGTTTTGGAGTTTTTTACTGTCCCTTCACCCCTTCCCTGTTTCCAGCCTTCTTTGTGATCTTTTCAAGACTTGGGCACATGCTAACTGTTTGTACTTGTAAGAAATAGTGTTACATGAGTTGCTGCTAGGCGTTTAAAGGAATTCCACTGGCAGCGTGTAATGCATGAAATGAGAACCTGCAGAAACATCTGCCGAATGGGATCCGTGGAGGTACACGGGTGGCTCTTTCAGGTGTAGGTGTCTCGTTCTGAGCTACCTAAAGTAGCAAGAAATTTCTAGTCAGCATCTGAGACCAGTATGTGGTGGAACACTTGAAATTTGAGAGTCACTTTTGAGCTTTTAGATACGTTTCTAATGGCTAGAAGATGTAGGGCGTTGATTCTTTTTTCATAGGCTCATCAAGAGCCACTGTTTAGCCTTGATGTCTGCCCTACTTTTTTCTGAAATTTGAATTAAGATACTGGTTTATTTTGCTGGCATTGACCAAGCTTCTTGTTGATAATGAACAAGCACGACCGTGTCTTATCAGCACATAGATTGCCTGTCTCGGATGCTAATGTAATACTGAATGCGATGGTTTTCCTACTTATCTTTGTTCCTGCAGAAAACTTAGCTTAAAAAAAAAGGCAGTGCATTTCTACACATAAAATAAAAAGGAGAAGGCAATCATGCGTTTAGTCCAGCAAGAATAGAAATACCTGAAGACCAGTTATTGAGGAGGAAAACCCGTAGCAATGTTACTGCTGTAACATTGGCAATTAAACGTGTACACAAAATGTTGGCCTGTAACGTTTTTTGCATGTTGATATGCTTTGTAGTTCTGGCGACATAA